GGCTTCATGAATATGAGTCTCTCTCAGTTTTTGTTCAATGTTATTTATGTCGTGTCCATTTGGCCGTCCGCTGACACAAAGCACGCGGTTTATTCTCTGAATAAATATGAGTGGATCTGAATGAGGCGTTAAAACACAAATTGGTGTGAGTTAATTTTCTCTCCCTGTGGGTTGTAAAGCAGGTTGTCCAGCTTGCTAATGGACCGATGGCTGCAGAGAGAGAGACAGACGCACAGATGGGCTTGTTTTATCAGGATCATATAATCTTGTCACAGTTCTGTTCTGACACACCTGTATGTCTGCGATTCCTTTTCATCCTGAGCAGGTGCACATGGATTCAGAGCCGTAGCGCGTCTGTTTTTCTCCTGAGTGACAGTGAGACGAGACACACAGCACTCAGAAATGAAATCATCATTTAAAAACTGCATTTTGTGTAATATTTTAATTTGTTTGATGATCTGAAACATTAAAGTGTGACAAACACGCAAAAAAATAAGAAATCAGGACAACACTTTTTCACACCACTGTATATGATGAAATTCTGCTGCTTGTAAATCAGTGAGATCTTTATAACAGTACGGCAGATACTGACATAAAATGATCTAAATATAATTTGTAAGATGTAAGATGAGATTGAAATGATCCAAACATATAATGCAATGATGATTGAGAGATGACTTATAATAAAAATGTAATGATTAAGCAAATGTTTTGAAAACTTTTTTAATGTATAATGGGTTACTAATAATCCCTTATATGATCAATTAATGAAATCACAAATGGAAAGAAATCAATAAAACAATCTTTTTATTGTAATAGTGTTGATGCGAGACTTACAGTAGATGCTGGTCGCCACTTTATCAGCCGTGTTGAATCGGTGTTGTCATAAAGTAAAATCAGTCGTATGGAATTATGGGTCAAAGGTCACCCTGATGGCTTCAAATGTTTAACTCTCAAATATGCTAAGAAGGATCAAACGCAGGGAACGCATGATGTTATGATTTCAGTTCAAACTAATTGTGGTGTAGAATTCAGTGTTTTATTCTAAATAGCCCTTTAAAACACAAATAAATTCTGGGAATCAACAGAGACTGGCTGAGACTGAGATAAGAAACAATATTTAAAAATAAGATGAATAGGATTGAATTAAACTGCCGTTAAACGGTTATAAATGATGAAGGTTTACTGAGCTGTGCCTTGTGATGGAGAAATGTCCGTCCATTTATACACTGTAACAAACATAAGAAGTGTTGGTCTATTCATCTTCTGTGTTGTGTTTTGTTGGTAATGTTATTGTGAAACACGGGATATCGCTGAAAACTCACAGTTGACTCATTTATTCAACCAATTTGTTCAGAAACACTGATTTATTTAGAAGTAAATGCACGACTCTCTTTATTTATAGATGCATGACTCGTTTAGATTATTGGTTGTTGTTCAGAGACACGTGACGGTTAATTCTATTTTTGTTTGACTTTGTTTAGAACTGATGGTAGAGCAAAAACAGACAAAGTAATGGGAAGTATTGTGTCAAATGTAAGTTACTCACTATTAAATTATTTTACTCCCCCTCATGTCCTTCCAAAGCTGTATGACTTTCCTTCTCCTGTAGAACACCAAAGATGTTTTGAAGAACACTGGGAACCAAACCACACTCTTCTAGCCTTTGTGGTGTGTGTGTGTGTGTGTGCGTGCGTGTGTGTGTGTGTGTGTGTGTGTGTGTGTGTGAGTGAGAGTGTGTGTGTGTGTGTGTGTGTGTGTGAGTGTGTGTGTGTGTGTGTGTGTGTGAGTGAGAGTGTGTGTGTGTGTGTGTGTGTGGGAAGTATTGTGTCAAATGTAAGTTACTCACTATTAAATTATTTTACTCCCCCTCATGTCCTTCCAAAGCTGTATGACTTTCCTTCTCCTGTAAAACACCAAAGATGTTTTGAAGAACACTGGGAACCAAACCACACTCTTCTAGCCTTTGTGGTGTGTGTGTGTGTGTGTGCGTGAGTGAGAGTGTGTGTGTGTGTGTGTGTGTGTGTGAGAGAGAGAGAGAGAGAGAGAGAGAGTGTGTGTGTGTGTGTGTGTGTGCGTGATTGTGTGTGTGTGTGTGTGTGAGAGAGAGAGTGTGTGTGTGTGTGTGTGTGTGCGTGATTGTGTGTGTGTGTGTGTGTGAGAGAGAGAGTGTGTGTGTGTGTGTGTGTGTGCGTGATTGTGTGTGTGTGTGTGTGTGAGAGAGAGAGTGTGTGTGTGTGTGTGTGTGTGCGTGATTGTGTGTGTGTGTGTGTGTGAGAGAGAGAGTGTGTGTGTGTGTGTGTGTGTGCGTGATTGTGTGTGTGTGTGTGTGTGAGAGAGAGAGTGTGTGTGTGTGTGTGTGTGTGTGTGAGAGAGAGAGAGAGAGAGAGAGAGAGTGTGTGTGTGTGTGTGTGTGTGTCAGTAATCAGAGAGTCTCCTCAAGGCTTCGCACATGACGTTAAGTGACGTGAATTGACAGACACGGTCCCTCCCAAAGCATTTCCGCTCTTCCTCTTAAACGTGCTGTCACTGGAGATCAGAGTCTCTCTGCTGAGCATCAGGCTGCATTTCTCTCCTCGTGTCGGTTTATTTTATTCTCATGTGTCGCCTCCAGTCCAGCTGCTCTTTCTTCGGTCCACAGGTCACTTGCTGATCACCTGACTCATTAGTCAGCTGCTGAACTGCACCTGCTCGTCACCATGGTGACACACTCCACCTGTACCTGTCCTGAAGAAAAATGATCCTCAGGATGCTGAGGACTGTTACCAGGCTGTTGCTATGTGGTTTCCAAGGAGTTCTGGGTGGTTGTTATGAGGTTGCTAGGTGTCCCTGTGATCTTCTGACATCATGTCAGTGCGCTCACTTGTTCTTTGTTGGATTTTAATATTGAATTTTGCGTATCATAAAATAAGTTTATATCCCTTAATATTTTCTTAAAAACCCCATCCCACTTATTCTATTCTATTCTATAGTATATAATGGTGCCTTTAGAGGAACAGAATCATTATTTGAGCATAGTCACTGTTATTTCACCACAGACACACCCACTTCACTGCTTTACAGTGTGTGTGTGTGACTGTGTGTGTGTGTGTGTGTGTGTGTGACTGTGTGTGTGTGTGTGTGTGTGTGTGTGTGTGTGTGTGCGCACGTGCTTTAGTTTCCAGAGAGAGAGTGAGTGTGTGTGTGTGTGTGTGTGTGTGTGTGTGTGTGTGAGAGTGAGTGAGTGAGTGTCTGAGTGTCTGTGAGTGAGTGTGAGTGTGTGTGTGTGTCTGTGAGTGAGTGAGTGTTTGTGTGTCTGTGTGTGTGTGTCTGTGTGTGTGTGTGTGTGTGTGTGTGTGTGTGTCTGTGTCTGTGTGTGTGTGTGTGTGTGTGTGTCTGTGTG